AAACATAGATACTGGCGTTAGTGGAACGCATGACAAACCAGTCCCTCATAAAACACATTTATAGTGGGACTTTTGATAAGGCAGGCGTGTCCTTGCGATTATAATCGAAGACTCCATCCTATATTCAGTATCAACAGTACCAGCACTGCTTTAATAGGAACCTAGCCCCTCTAGACAGCTTAAGGAGATGTAAAGGCTTATAGTGGACAGTTTCTAATAAAGTTTTGGCTGATGATGACACACCTTATAAACGAGTGGTTAAACGATGCTGAGTACAGTGTTCAAAAGAACTAAAAGTCTATGTATAAAGTGGAATGCAAGTTACGGTCTATTCGCCAAAAAGTAAAGACAAGTGTTTGAAAATAGCCAAAATGGAGGATTTTGTAGCCGTACGCTTGTTAATATCGAACACTAACTTACTTTGCATCATGTATGCCTCTTGACTTCAATTCGTCATCATTGAACCTGCAAGAATAAATAAATAAATTGTTACTATGTAAATGCTTAATAACGAGTTACGTCTATTGAGAGAGTGGCGAGGCTTAAAATAAATGAGGAAGTATATGTTGGATTCCTAAATACCAAACTCGATAGTAGGAAAATGATAATAAAACGAATACCCACACAATGTAGAGAATAAGGGCACAATTAAAAGAGCATGCTCTTGTGATAATCCATTGGGCCTGAACCATCCATAAACCAACCAAATAAACTAAATATGAAGAGGTCCCTTCAGGAAAGAATTTGATGTGGTCGGCTCTTGTAATTTGCTAGATTTGTGAATCTGTATAGCACAACATCAAAGTATCCACATTCTCAACATCAAAAGTCAGTTTTAGTCCGGAATTCGGATTCTTTACTTACTCTCTATTCTCTGGATCAAGGCCACACCAGAGAATCTGAGAAGGACGAAGTGTCTTTTTGACGAAGCCTCTACGTGTTCTGTCGTATATGGTGATACCTTCACCTGGGACGACTTTAATAGCAGCATCCGTCCGCTTAGTAAGCCCACGTGGCAGATTGGCTGCAATCGCAAATAACTGCGAAACGGCGCGTCGTACAGCAGCAGCGTCCTCTAAACGATCGACTTCTACGCTGCCAAGATAAAGCACGTTATGCACTGCAAGAGAATAGGTGGAGAAATAGATGAGAGTTGAACGGAAGTAAAGAT